GAAGATTTATCAGACACAAAGAGCTCACAATCAAGTACAGAGAATGAACCTGTATTCACAAACTCTCAATGTAAAGAGTTATTTCTCATTTAAAATAGTGGAATATAGGCCCAGTATTACTTTACAGAGATTGCCTTTTGAGTTGCAGCAGGAAAAATAACAGCCTAGTAAGAAAAAGGTAGGAACTTGTGACCACAACTGAATGTAAGCAGTAGGTAAAGTAAGATGACAGCATGATGGATAGGCTAGGCTCTCGCCAAGTGATGGAGATGAAGAAAGAGCGGTAACTTAACAAGTAAGGGCACTAGAGTTATCCAGCATGATTTTAAATAACTGACGATATTATGTAATAAAGCAAAAAGGGAGCAAGTATGAGAGACTATGCAAATATTTTATATAGAAATTACTGATAAACCAAAAATATTCCCACACTCTGCCTTTCTTTCAAAAAAATAATAAGCTCTTATTTTAGCAATTACATAAGATATGACATTTATGGCAGCTAAAGATGAGAAGCCATCAGTGGCTTTTGCAATCATGTTAGAAGTTAAAGTGATGAAGCATTTAATATGTGTTGTTTATTTCCTCATGTACTTTTCAGTCAAATATTCCTACTACAAAGTAAGATATAAATAGGATAATGGTATCTATCATCCTGACAACTTCTTTTCACTTGAACATTTCAAACCATTTACAAACATTAATTTCCAATATCCTAGTTAGAAGTAAATTAGGTACAGAGGTGAACAGCTCAAGGTCAATTGATAAATCAGTAACAGATTTGGAAAAAGATACACATTCTGGTTCTTGCTTGTACTTCTGAGTTATAAACCATGCCTCCATTAGAAAATGTTTTTCATCTTAAAATGGTCTGCAATAATTATCTTTGATGTTAAATAGATGATTAAATAAAATTCAACAAATATGAGTTTAAAAAACATGTCTCAACTATTATCATTTGTTAGAAAACAATGAAGAAAAAGCATTACTAAATTCTAGGGTTGGAGGGCCTATATCTGTATTTTCTATAAACTGTTCAAGTTTTCTATGGACTAAGTTAATATGTCTAATTTTGTTTTTAGTCCTTCCACAATGCAAGTCTCTGCAATGCAGGTATTTTAATTAACAGAACAAATGCATTATTGACCATCAGTGAAATAATGGAAGCCATAATTAGGCAACCAGTACAGTTTATTATCAATAATTATTTTTTGGACATGGCAACAGAACCCTCTACATTGTATAGGGAATTGAAGAGTATAATAAACTTACATAGTATTATGGTGCACTTCATGATTACTTATCACAAAAAATACCATGCAAAAAGAAAAATTTAAGTGTTAAGCATTACCTTAAAATCCACTTCTAGAAATTTAACTTCTACATTTTACTCTATTAAAAAGCTATTAATTCCTGATTATTACTTTTCATATGTTTTAGAACAAGAACCATAAGTTCCAAGCAGAATTTTCTAAGATTTGAAAATCTTTTTACGATTTAAATAAAGCCTTAAATTACTTCATTCTGAATTTCAATCTGCGAAACCAAAGGTTTTCTTCCTAAATGCCTACCTGCGCATTGGCTTTCCTTCCATGCACCATGAAAAGTACCCTTCACCACACTCTACGCCCAACCTATGACAAAAGAAAAGCAGTAACTTAATAAAAGCTATTTCTGATTTTTTCCAGCAACAACATATAATCATATCACTCATTTCATCAGTTATCAAGAATTTTAGATCCTATTATACCACAGGCCTTTTGCAGATGAATCCAGGTACTTTAAGACGATTATCTCTCTCTGCATGCCAAAATGATTATATGTGAAAGTGAGGGAAAGTGCTCACTAGGTCAGTCTTGCTTCTCTTCACAAAGTGCCTGGAGATACTTTACTTTTACCTGGCCATCAACTACGGCTATAGAACAATCACCAGACACCCACAGGAGTACCAACTTGATAGATCCGCTAGGGAACACGCTGTGTAACAGCGGATCTGACGGCTATTAACTTGTCCCAAAGTGACAGGAGCAGGAGGAGGCATTTGCCTTTAAAAACAAACAACTTCGCTTCCAACAACCTGGGTAGCTTAAACAGGAAAGGGAAAATACGGTTCTAGAGTCTAACTAGAGTGCTAGAACAACACTCTTTATAAGCCTTTCCTTAGTCCCCGAAACAATGTTGACTACTCATTTGGACAGGATCTTATCAGGTCCTAAGGGTTAAGTGCGACGTACAGTACTTCCTTCTCCCGAATTCCAAACACTGGGAAAGCTGTCCAGGGTGCGGAACCTCAGCAGTCCCAGGCAGGACAGCCCAGCGCCTCTCCTGGCTCCGGGACAGGGTAGTCAGCCAGCGAAAGCGCACAGTCTGGCGCCGGGTCAGGCCCGGCCCCGGCACCCCAACAGTCTCTTCTCGGCGCCGAATGACAGGCGACCGACCAAGCAATGCCCCAAAGCCATTGAGCAGCTCGGCAACTTGGGATCACAGATTTGCAAAGCAAGTGTAGGGGTGCTGCCCGCTGTCCCCTGCTCTACAGCAGTTCACTTACCGGCTCTGACACTTTCTTCTCTGCCGCAGCCCCCTCTGCCTTCTCCGCCCTCCTCTCTGCCTTCTCCTCCACCGCCGCTAGCGCAGTCCGGACGCGGCTCCTAGGACTATTTCCTTTCCCCTCACCCGCCCCTGTCTAGAAGCAGGAAGCAGTCCTGTTCCTAACTCGTTCCCGCTGGAAGCCACACCTTCCGCCAAGAGGTTCCGGTGCATCTCCGGAAGTAGCCGCGCCTTTTGCTGGGGATTGGGATAATCTCAAAGACAACGTGTACGTGGTTTCCAGTTTCTAAGTATCCTGAGAGGGACCACTTTTAGAGTTCACCGCTCAATTGGTAGTATTTGAAGACCAAAGCCTCCTCTTTCCTCTGTTTGCCCCAGCAAAGGCAATAGAAAGATGGGAGTAGTAACTGGAAGCTAGAAATTTTGATTTCTTTGTAGCTTGGATCTCTATTTGGCAAAATGTTGGCCCTTATTGTGAATTGAATTATTGATGCATGCACACATGGGGTTGACATTTATCTGTTAGGCCCCTATTATATGCAAGGTCTGGGATACTCAGACAAATCAGAAATAGACCTGACCTCCCATATTTCCCACAGTCCATCTTTCAAGATAACCAGGGTTTTATCTTGGACTACCTACTTAATGTTCACCACCAGACACTTCACTAAACACATCCTTTGTGGATTCTCTTTAATATTGGGTGGGGGGGGGCTGTATTTGTCTTTTGGTTCAGTTTTTCCCAAAGCACACTGCCACCTGATTTTTACTATACAAGGTTGGACAATTAAATTTGCAAACTCATCCTAGGAGAAGTGATACAAACTTCATTGGTGAATATCTCTACAGTCACTTTTGAAGTACACCTCTTGGGAAGCTAGGCACTGATGCCAGCACCCAGTCCACCTTTCAAAGCACTTTTTCTAGGAAGAATTCATCCTAGAATCTTAATTGCATTTTACCAGGTGCCATGGATCAGATATCTGAGGTATGTTTAGAAAACGAGTGATATGGGTACAAAGTGAGGGTTATAACTTCAGCACAACTGAAGTTTTGTAACTTGCCCAAAGTCACACAGCTATTTAAGAGGCAGAGGAAGGATTTGAGGTGATGCACAGTGGCTCCAAAGCCTGTAATTTCAGACACAGTGCTTTGTTGCCTCTCTCATCAGAAGTCTTTGAGAGTTCTTGTTGGTGTATAGTATTATCATGCTTGGTGTTTTTCCAACTTTAAATTTGTTTTTGCCAATCTGTTGGGTATAAAATGGTAATTTGCTGTGATTTAGATGTGTATTTCTCTTATTACTGTTGAAACACTTTTAAAAAATTTTATCTTTAAATATGACTTTAATTTTTTTCACACTAACTTCTTTGTTTTCTTCCTGTAATAAGGAGCATAGATAAAAATCCCAGAAGCCAGTTCAGAAGTCTTCTGAAGTGACTACATTTACAGGTAAAGTTATGTCTAAAAAGAGACCAGTCCTACCTTGTGGAACCTTCCCAGATGGAGGAAGGGAATTGCAATAACATAAAGTCACTAAACACCCTGCCACATATCTTGACAATAAAAAATTTTTTAGAGATAGGATCTTGCTATGTTGCCTAGGCTAGATGTGAACTAGGCACAGTGGTCCTCCTACCTCAGTCTCCTAAGTACTGAGTAGTGGCACTACCACAGTGCAACACCACATCTTGAAACATCTTTTCATATGTGAAGGTGGCATTCAGATTTTCCGTCTGTGAATTACCTATTGTAAAAGATAGCTTCAAAATGTCCCTTACTCATTTTGGTATAATGCTGCTAACCAAGGATTGATTTTTAAACTCCTGGCCAGGATAAGAGCAGTCTCTGCTATTTTTGTAAATCTACAATTCACTCCACAACCCACTACAATCTGGTTTGTGCTTCTGTTACTCTATTTCCTTTTAAAGTACAGCAGCTCAATGTGAACCATCTCTTTCTATTTATGTTAAAGCTTAGAGGACTCATTTAGAAATATGCATATGGTAAATCTGGCATTTGCAATAATTATAGTATTTCACTCTAGTAAGATTGTGTCCTTGGGGAGACTGAATTTCTAGCTGAAAATATACCTATAGTAGATTTAACCTCATTGGGTGTGAAGCAGTGGCAACAAATAATTCTTCAGGAATTGCTGAGTTTACCTTATAATCTTTCAATCAGAAATTACATTTGTTTGCAATATATAACACACTGCTCTTGGACTCCAGGTTTAGTAGCAGTAAACAAGATGGAAACAGCTCCTTGTTTTTGTGGAATTTTCATTCTTTTCATCTTTCTTTCCCTTTTCCTTTCCCTTTCTCCCTTCTTACCTTCATCCCTACATCTCTTCCTTTCTCCCTGCCCCATTTCTATTTTCTTGACAGGGTCTTGCTCTGTTGCCTGGACTAGAGTGCAGTGGTATCATCACAGCTCACAGCAACCTCAACTTCCTAGGTTCAAGTGCTCTCCTGCCTCAGCCTCCTGAGTATCTGGGACTACAGGTGCATACCACCATGCCTGCCTAATTTTTAAATTTGCATAGAGAGGATGTTCAGGCTGACAACCTCATAAAACATCAAAAAATTAAACTGTAAATTGCACAATTAATTGTTGAATTATAATCAGGATAACTGAAAGTGATCTAAAGGGTGCTAAGAAAACATCTAGTAGGGTCCCCAGATCTGGTGTAGAGGGCAAGGAAAATGTGGTGCACAGCCTTTAAGATGGCCCTCAGTGGTCTTTGCCTCATGGTATTCATGCTCTTAGGTAATCCCCTCCTGTGAGTGTGGGCTAGACCTAGGAATATGGCAAAAGTAATGGGATGGTACTTCCTAGATAAGGTTTCTGTTGCAGGTGTTATCTCTCATTTGATTTCTCTGAGAAAGTCAACTACCATGTTGTAAACTGCCTTATGGGGAGGCTTGTATGGCAAGAAATTGAGAGAGATTTCTGAGGAACAGAGAGGAACTGAAGCTCTTAGTCCGAGAGCCCATCCCATGAGGAATCCTGTCACCACCAACAAGCATCACCAAGAGTGAGCTTGGAAAGGAATCTTCTTTCAATTTAACCTCCAGATGAAACTGAAGACTTTTCTGAGAGTTTGACTAAAACTTCATGAAAGACCTTGAGGAAGAAGTACCTAGCTATCCTTGAATTTCTGACCCACAGAACATTGTGAGATAATACATTTTTTTTTGAAGCTATTACATTTTGGGTAACTTGTCATGCAGCAGTAGATAACTAACACAAAAGATTTCTGTAAGGAAGGGGAGATAAAGGATGATGGGATTTATGAAGTAGCAGAATTGAAAGGGAAGAAGGAGAGGTGCAGGCAGAGACACTAAAGCTGGAGGGGTAAGGACAGCTTGGCCAGAGAGAGTACACTGAGGAGAATGGTAGGACACAAATAGTGAAACTGGAAAGTGTTTCAGAAAATTTAGGAACAGAGCAGGAAGAGTGAGCACAAATCCAACAATGACAAAGCATTTTCCTAGTTTCCTGAAGCTGCTATAGAATTGTAGGTGGCATAGCGGAGAGCACTCTGATGGGAACTGGAAGACCTGGGTCCCAGTGCTAACCCTGTGATCTCAAGCAATCACTTGGTCATTCAGGTCCTCAGTTTTCTCATCTATAAGATGGAAATCTAAATCCTTTACAACTTCTAAGTCAATAGTTATTAGTTACATAAAATCTGTATGAGGAAAACTATAAAACACTCCTGAAAAAAGCAGAAGTAGATCTGAGCAGCAAGAAAGAGATTCCATGTTATTGCTTAAGATGATTCATTTATATAAAGATTATTAGTGCCCCATAATTTAAAAATGTAATGTAGTCCAATGTCTTTGTTTGTGCTGTTATAATAAAAAGATCGTAGTAATATATAAGAACAGACATGTATTTTTTCACAGTCCTGAAGGCCCAGAGGTCCAAGATCAAGGTGTCAGCCTTCAATGTCTGATGAGGGTGTAATGATAGGACCCGCCCAAACTGGTCCTACTTTGTTGATAACAGAATGTCAAATTATCTTATAGGTATAACAGAGCCAAAACAGTAAGGCATGTAGCCTAGACATGTGTAAGAGAAAAAGCTTTAACCTCTATGTCTTCAGGGAGAACTACTATTTTCTCCCTGAAGAGCCAAGAAGAAGAGGACATGACTAAAACTTTAATGCCAGACCCTTTCAGAAGCAAGAGGTCCATTGGCCAGGAAAATCTGATGCTAAAATCTTTCTCAATAGACCTTATCATGAATGGTCCAATTTAAAGCCCTCCAACCAGACTCTGGAAACCAGCAACTCTGCACCTCGTGTCTCCTTGCTTATGTGCCTCACAATGAAGCCTTTCTTTTCTCACAAGCCAGGGCCGTAGTTTTGGCTTCTATGCATGCTGGGTAGTGAACCCACACCTCAGTAACAAAGGCTATTCTCTGTTTCCAAGATGCTGCCTTGCTTTATCCTCAGATGGGATGAATGCTGCGTCCTGGTGTGACAGATGGCCAAGAGAGTTCTCCCTTCAACCTTGAGCCCTCTTATTAGAAGCTGATCCCGTTCATGAGGGTGGAGCCCTTAATCACCTCCAAGCCACACCTCTCAATAATGTTGCATTGGGGATTAAGTTTCAACTTGAAATTTTGGAGAGGACACCATCCATCATTTAAAACACAGCACCAGATAAAATCAACATCAGAGTTTTACAGAAGTAGATAAATTGATTATAAAGTTCATATGGAAGAGCAGACAAATGACAATACTCAGAAATAGCCTAAAAGGAAAGCAGCAAAGGGGCTGGCTAACCCTCAGAGATATTATCAAAACATGTTATAAAACTGCTATAATTAAAAGAGTGGTTTTGGCATATGTACACACAGACACAGAGCAGGGTAGGAAATCTGGAAATAGACCTAAGAATGTATAAAAATTCAGTATGTGATAAAAGTAAGGTCTCAAATCAGGGGAGGGGGTGAAATAGGGACTGTTAAATAAATTATGTTGATACAACTACTGACAAAGATGAAACTGGATTTCTGTCTTACTCCACACAAGGGATTGGATACCATTACAGTTTCAACAAAGGCCTCTGAAGACCCTATGGAAAGATCTGAAGCTGGAATGGTCCTTCAGAATTATCAACAGTTGAAGTAAGGAGGCCGAGTCTTTAAA